GAAACTAGTGTAGTCTACGGAGTTTTGCCGTATATTGCGCCAGAAGTTTTAATCGGAGAACCATTTACTATGGCATCTGATATCTATTCATTTGGTATAATAATGTGGGAAATCGCATCGGGAAAACCTTTACATTATGATAGAAAAGAAAATGATGACGATCTTGTCAAAGAAATTTGTAATGGTCTCCGTCCAACATTTGCAAAGGAAATACCGCAGATTTATGTTGGATTAGCTAATGAATGCATGAGTGCAAATGCATCTGAACGCCCTTCAGCAAGTGAACTTCAGGAATATTTAGACAGTTGGACAAAAAAAAGTTGTTATATAAAAACTTTTAAAGAAGCTGATACAATTAAACATGAATCTGGACCTTTAAACAATTGCATGATCTCATACCAACTTGTAAAACGTTTAATTGATTTAAAGCCTACAAATTTGAAGAAAAATACTTCAGATTCAGATTTTAACGAAAAAACTACTATGTAAAATAATGTTTTACATCTTGATAACATCAATGATATAATTTATTAAATACGAAAAACATTGAAATTAAAAATATATATATCAACATTCGAAATAACCTTTCAATAAAAAAAAATTCTTATGTTTATAATTTAGATTTTAGTAAAATTATAAATGGTAACCAGTCAACAAACTTTTCTTGTACTCAAATGAGAAGAGGTATATTCGTAAAGTTAAAATTATTTTAACGTTAATCAAATTTTATAATTCATCGCGATTATCGCATACCGTATTTTCGCGAAATAACGCGCAGGTAGTGTTCCGCACGGACCAAATCGGGCGAATATTTTTAAAGATTCGGATCCGATCCGAAGTACGAATCGAATTCAAGTTAGGATTCGAAATCGTATCATTTAAATCCGGATTCGATCCGAATCCAACCAAATTCGTGAAAGATTTTTTTCGGCAGTTTGCTCTTGTTCAAATGTGTTTATTGAAAAAAAACGCCCTGGTTCAAATATATTTATTTATCCTATTTAATTAAAAAAAAAAAATCGCACTGATTCAAATGGATTTATTGAAAAATTTTTCTAAAAAAAATTCAGATTGATGATAAATCAATATATTGAAAAGACGGCCAAGCAGGAATATCCAAGGCAAGCGGTCAGGTCTTGAAATGCAGCCATTAATTCTAATCACTATGTGAGAAAACATATGAAGAATAATTTAATTAACTGCTTAATTTGAAAATTCAATCTAATTTCTATAACGATAATAACCGTATTGTTAGAACTTAGTATAAGAATAGGCGCGTTCAGTCAACCAGCGCCCACCATCCACAAGAAGCAATATTCGATCCCAAATCCTTCTACCCACGCGCAATCTAAGGGATGTTAAGTGGTCCACGGTGAACTAGTTCGGACCGGGTTTGGGACTGGACTTTTCAGGACTAGTCCGAACTAGTTCTACAATACTCGTTCACTATTGTTCTATACATTAAACTGCTAGGATAAGACTGGTTTCAGACAGGGGCTATAAACTAGTTCTTAACTAGTTATGGACCAAACTTTTTAAGAACTTAACCAGGACTGGACTTTTAACATCCCTAGCGCAATCCATCAGAATCGTACTGATGTATGCTGCATATTCACACCAAAAATCATCTAATATCTGGCATTAGTATTTAAATAATACTCACATCCACGTTTTTCAAAAAAAAAATAATAAATAAAAAATAAATGCATTCACGCCATCTTGAGTATAATTGTTAGGCGAAATCATATTACACAAAGGGAAAAAAATTACAAGAAATCAGACATAACTTAGCATTAGTGAATTTTAGCAATAAAACGGATCCGAATTGAATATTATCCGATCGAATCTCTATTTGATCCGGAT